TAAATTCAAGCCAGCCTAAACTATGTATGTAGTAAGACCTGTCTCAAAAAACCTCAAAACTTACTATTTAAAAATTTTTTCCTTCCTTGCTTAACATCTGTTGTGACACTTGAAGTCCCTTAGTTTCTTTTCTTATAAGTGGCAACACTGCTTGTACCTCCCCCTCTTACTTGCCACAGAAGACATAAGGGAGGTGTAAATTGATGTCTGAAGGGTTGAACTAGTACCAAGAAGTGATTGGCAGAATGACTTTCAGTCATATTTTTTGAGAGTCTCACTAAGTTACACAGGTTGGGCTTGAACTCATGATCCTCCAGCCTCAGCCTTCAAGAAACTGAGGACTTTAGAAGTGATTTTATCTGCTTTTTGTCTTGTTTCTTATAAGTATTTTCAATTTGAGTAGCAGAAACTAATCTGTCATGTTGGACTTGAAGATACACACTGTGTCACTGATTAAATAGTTGGCTTAACTTGGTTATCCTCACATCGGGACAGGCACCCTGCACATCTTCATGGGAATACCCAGAGTCCTCCAAGACTCCCATCTTCCAAGAAAATGCCCTGACTTTGTCTTCTCTGTTCTCTGTTCAGATCTCAACGACTCCAGTTTGATGTCTCTTCCCCCAATGGCATCTTACTTTTCCGAGAGACCAGCAAAATGATAACGATGTACGGTAGGTGCTTTAAGCAGCACACCCAAGAGGTGATTCTGACTCAGCCACTGTGCTGCACACAGCATGTACTCTCGGGCTGCCCCGACAGCGGCCAGAACAACACTCCCGTGAGTGCTGTGTTCTTCATGTGCAGTGTTAGCGCACCAGCTGCTAAGGACGGCCTGCTGGAACTGTGTGCCTTTGGGGTGAGAGGGGTGAGATGGTGTCAAAACTTGGTCTCACTGTGGTTGATTATATACCTTATTTGTCCATCAGGCAATCGTATCTTGACACTAGGAGAGGTCCCGAAGGATCAGGTCTATGCACTGAAGCTTAAGGGCATCTCCATCTGCTTCTCTATGCTGAAGGCTGCCCTCAGCGGGAGTTACGTCAATTTCGGAGTCTTCCGCCTCTACGGAGACGACGCCCTGGACAACGCTCTGCAGACCTTCATCAAGCTGCTCCTCTCCATTCCCCACAGTGACCTCCTGGTAAGCTTTAGCCTTGCTGGGAATCTTGCCTTTCATCATGCTCAGACTTTTTAACTTGAGACCAGGAGAAGCTGTGAGCTAGTTTCTTTCTGCTCTAACTCCGTCACTCGTTTCCGGACTGGAAGGAACTTAACTGTTTTATTTAGGGCCATATCCCTTTATACCGAAGCTGGCTAGTGCTGAGGCTGATTTTCTTCCTCCTCCTCTGCCATAGGACTATCCCAAGCTCAGCCAATCCTACTACTCATTACTGGAAGTCCTGACCCAGGACCATATGAACTTCATCGCAAGTCTGGAACCTCACGTTATCATGTATATTCTCTCCTCTATTTCCGAAGGACTTACTGCACTTGGTAAGCACTGGTCAGCTTGTTGGTACCCTGACCTAAGCAGAATCACTGCTCTGGGGAACTGGCCCTTACAAGAGGACCCTGTCCAAGGTAAACTGTGATCAAGCCTAGGAGCCAGCTTATCAGGCAGTATAAACAGGGTAACCAACTTGCCCCCGTCCTTATGGAGCTTTGTGTCTGCTGGATGAGACACTGAAGAACGACTCTGCCCCTTTCCCATACTGACCTTATTCCCTTCTCTCACGCCCTGCCCCAAACAGTAAATAGTCAGCTCCCAGTTACTAAGGGTGGGGTCAGGGAAGACTAGCCGAAAGGCTTAGCGTCAAAGTGTGTAGAAAAGCTGGGCAGATGTAGGCCAGTTTCTAGTGGTAGGAGAGGCAGCACTAGAACCTTCTGACAGGAGAGAACCAGGAAGTCGGGTGCATCTGGTGCACAGTGCAAAACAGTAAGACAGAAAAGACATGAAGCAGAGTGTCCATAACCATATAAGGGTTGTAAGACTCTCCGAAGCGCTGTGGGACCCATGAGGGTCCCTAAGTTTTCCATTCTAGGCCTTGTGGTTCCTGTCAACTATTTTTGTTTTGGCTGCTTCCAGAAATGTTAGTAGATTGTACAGTGTGTGTGTGTGCTGTTACAGAATAAAACATGTTTATATTAGGCCCAGCAAAACAGAGATTAAGTCAGCTGTAAAATAATGATGATATGGATGCAGTCTGACTTTTTGGACTTTTGTGAGTTACCCACACCTATGTGCCATTTCTGTGACCCACGATTACTTCTGTCAGAGGCATTGCCTTATCTAGTACAGTACAATCAAGGCATCAGACTTTGCTTTGGGAGGCTGTTTTTATCTTCTTGAAAATACAGGGACCTTGGTACAGACTACCAGTCCTCCAAGAAGCAGATTGTTTGCTTTTTTTTTTTTTTTTTGTGACAGGGTCTTACTATGCAGTTTAGGCTGAGCTTGAATTCACAGCCTCCTCCTGCCTCGGCCTCCAAAGTGCTGGAATTACAGGCATGTGCCACCAAGCCCAGCTTTAGAATTGTTTGTTTTTTCAAAGCTCTTGGCTGCTACTAGCCTGCACTGGTGAACTGGCTGTGCTACCCCATTCTCTTGGTAAGAGCACAGAGGAGTGGTGAACTCCCAAGATGCTATGCCAGCAGTAAACAAGAACATGCACCATATTCTAACAAATGTAGATATTCACAGGCTATATGAAGCTGGGTTCCATGGCCTTCCCCTTGTTGGTTCTAATCACAGATCTGACTTACTAGCTGTGCTGTCTTTAAGGGGGTCTTGTAATCTCCAGACTCCGGTGTCCTTGTGTGTATGTGTAGTACAAACCGCCTAGAGTCCTTCAGAAGTATCTGGGAAGTACTTGCTGCGGTGTCTAGCACAAATGAAGCACTTCCTGTGTGTAAAAATGAGTGATTTTTTTTTTTTTTTTTTTTTAAGGAACTAGGGGACATCTAAAATAAATTGAGCCAGTAATTTAAGTAATGTTTACATTATCTTTTACCACACATTCAGCTCCAGGCATAAAAACTAGGCCTTGCCTATAACATAAGGGTAAGAAGCTAACAGGAAATAGCCTCAGTAGTGGTCTCAGGTGCAAAGGCCACAGTTGGCAATCCAGCCAGGTCCTTCTGTGGGATCCCAGCCAAGTCACCGATAGCAGCTCAATATCCCCGCTCTCTTCCTTCTGCTCCTCTCCTCCAGACACCATGGTATGCACAGGCTGCTGCTCCTGTCTGGACCACATTGTGACATACCTCTTCAAGCAGCTGTCACGTAGCACCAAAAAGAGAACAACACCCCTGAACCAGGAGAGTGACCGCTTTCTGCACATCATGCAGCAGCATCCAGAGATGATCCAGCAGGTAAGGAAGCCAAGGCTTAGGCAGTCGTAATGGGGTGTCCTGCCGTGGGAGGCCCTTTCCAAGAGGGGTGGCTAGGCAAGATGGCGAGTGTAGCTATAACTAACATCTTACCAGGGTCCTGCTGCCAAGGGAAGCCTCTTAAAATTGCAATCAATTTTGAGTTTGCTAAATAGTGGATATAGAAAACCTGAAAATAAAAACAGGAACAAGGGTGCAAGACAGAAGAAAGTAACCTACCACACAGATCAAACCATATGCTTATTTGTATTTTATTTGTATATAACAAAAATAAGATTTGAAGCCCCAATACTAAGATAAGGAACTGGGATCTTAGCGGGTGTTTTTGTGGTACTGGGAATTGAATCCAGGGAGCATTGAGCTAGATGCCCAATCCTTTTTTAAACTTTTCTGGGGATTGAACTCAAGACCTTGCACGTACCAGACAAGTGATTAAGTCACTGAGCTAAATACCAGCCTTTTTAAAATTTTATTTTGAGAGAAGATTTTGTTGTATTGTCCATGCTGGCCTCCCACTTGTGATCCTTTTGCCTTAGCCTCTGAAGTAGCTGAGATTATAGTAGTTAAGAGTGATTATATTTAAGCCAGTAGTATCTTAGCTAAACTCAGCATTGATCATTGTACTGTTGAGTAGCAGTAAAATAATTCACAACCCCATGGCACCCACAAAATGTCCCAAAGCTTTTTCCTCTGAGACTGGTACCTGAAAGTGACATTACAGGGTGGTTTTGCTATTCTACTTTTCTTCTTTTTTTCCCCCTAGCACTGTACTTTTGTTTGCTTGACCTCATTCCATTCCCCATGAGTCAGACTCAACTGAGAAGGCCCAATTTTAAATGAAGTTAGCAAACCAGTTAAGAACAGGAAAGGAAATATTGCAAAAGAAACCTTGAAATAAATAGAAGACTAAAACGAAGCTTCACTGAATATTTGACTGGTTACACTACACCACAGAGGCCTTTAGCCTGACACACATCTTCGCTTGGGATCTGTCTTCCCTTGGGCAGCCACCACTAGATCCCTGCCTTCCAATTTTGCTTTCAGATGCTGTCCACGGTGCTGAACATCATCATCTTTGAAGACTGTAGGAACCAGTGGTCCATGTCTCGGCCCCTGCTTGGCTTGATATTACTTAATGAAAAGGTAGGATGAGCAACTGTGGTCCGCTTCACTTCCCTGCTCCCTGAGCAGTGCTTTCAGGAGTGCCCCAGAATGGCACAACAAGGAACACAGGCCGATTACTGAGTACAGGTTATTCCTGTGGACCCCTTAGAAGCCAGGAGCATGGCTGTTGTGATTGGCAAGGGGTAAAGGGTGAGGAAGAGTCTTCCTGTGGGGAGTAAGGGAATCTAGATCTGGGAAGCAGAGCAGCTGAGCCTCGGTTCTCCTTCTAGCCCCATCATCAACAGCCTTACAATTATAGTACTAAAAAAAAAAAGGGTCTGGATCAGATGATCCCTAAAGTGTTTTTACAAACAGAAATTCCTGATTTTTAAGTAGGATGATGACACGGCCTGAATTTGAAAAAGAAACATGGCTAGTTTAGTATATCCATTCCTTCCAGAAGGCCACAGAAGACTCCTGTGCCTTTCCCCACCATCTCTTACCTTGTTTCCATCCTTGTCCCCACAGTATTTTTCTGACCTAAGGAACAGTATCGTCAACAGCCAGCCGCCAGAGAAGCAGCAGGCCATGCATCTCTGCTTTGAAAACCTGATGGAAGGCATCGAGCGGAATCTCCTAACAAAAAACAGAGACAGGTGAGTGCAAGGGGCCTGCCAAGAAGTCCTGGGCAGATTATGGAAACTCTGTGCACCCCATTTGGAGACCACCTAAAGCAGTGCTGCCCAACAGGAAAGCAGGGAAAGCTGTAGAAGCCACATTTACAAAAGGTGGAGAGAGCAGGCGGGGTGAAGTTGAGGGCAGAGTGCTGAGTTAGCTTGCCTGCGGCCCTGCATTTGGTCCCAACTGCCAGAGGCAAGAGACAGGCAGAGTGCAGTGGAGTAAGAAAGGTGATGGAATGGCACTTCCTAAGGTGTCATGTCACTGTCAGTCAGGACTCAGACACTGAACATTTTAACCATCTTACTATACCAAGCCTCAAAACCCTGTGTAGCCTCAATATAGATGCTAAATTTTTACCAGAAATACTGGACGTGTATTTCTATTTCATACCTTTATAGTTGAGAACGCCGTACCCCATTTTTTTTAACTGAATTGAATGTTTTTATTTTTATTCAATTTTGATGAGAGCATTTTAATTTTAATTCAAGTGTGTTGGAGAAGTAGACTGGACACTTCATGTCATTCGATTCAGTTCTCAGGCATACAGGCCACAGTTGAAGGGTTCATTGGCACTTGTGGTTGGCAGCCACCGTGCGAGGGAACACAGGTCTGTTGGCATAAACCCAAGGGGCTTCACCCTCGGGCTCCCTCACTGTGTAAGGCTCATTTCCCACGTGGCAGCAAGGTTCCTTTGCGTTGCAGGAGACAAAGGTGGCTCTCAGGGTCCCAGACTGGACCATCTGCAGCCTGTTGTGAAGTTGTCACACAGAAAGGGGTATAAAACCAAGCCAGTTTTCCCTTGTAGTCTTAAAACAGATGAATTACAAACAGGAACCCATCGATTCCTGTGTTCTACTTCTCAGTAGCCACTTCTCTGCTTAAAAAAAAAATACTTCAGGCCAAGACCTTTCTTGCCCTGCCATCCACCTCCCGAACCCACATTCGTGCTCTCTGCAGGTTCACCCAGAACCTGTCAGCATTCCGTCGAGAAGTCAACGACTCTATGAAAAACTCCACCTACGGCGTGAACAGCAATGACATGATGAGCTGACACCGCCTGGACTGGACCTGTACAGAGCAGCGTCCCTGTGGTGTGGTCCAGAGGGGCAGACAGTTGTCAGGGAGAGAGCCTGGCTGATCCGGCTCCTTCCTCCAGGGGTGTGGGGAAAATGGCAAAGGTCACCTGGCTACTTCCCCAGGGAATGGGGTGTACGTGCATTCGCTGGGGCAGGGTGCTGCTGGTTCCTAGGGGACTGGGTGGGTGGTGGGAGGAGACGAGACACAGACGTCTGAGACTCTAGCCCCTTCCTCCTGGGGCCACCGAGGGGGGGAGAACCCCCAGTGTCCTGCCACAACCTGCCTTGTATAAACATGTACATTTTTTCATAACATTTTGAACAAGGTTTATATTGACTCAAGTTTAAAAACAAAAAGTGTGATTGAAAAATTTTTACAGAGTCTAGTGCACCAATGCTGATGTGAGGGGTTATGTATGCGAGTGAAGAAAATGTGTATTCTGGTGGCCTGAAGCTTTACTGGACAAGGATGTGTGAAAGTACAGAGATATATTTAGTTGACACAGTGTAGAGAGGCAAAAAAAAAAATCCCAAATGTATATTTTTTCTTATTGCCCCCTTTCCTTGCCCCCAAAGTGACCACTTCCTATTGCCGTATTGACCCTTGTTATTAGGAACTCTAAGCCATGCCAGAGCACCATCCTTCCCCTTTAACAGTGGATGCTGCCCTACGTCCCCTGGCCTCTTGCAGTGGCAATAACTCCAGCTAAAAGTGTTCGGTGTTCTCCATTCTCCCTCCCACTTTGCTTACCTTCATCCTCAGACAGATGCCTCTTGCTTTTAAAAGTTGGATTTCACTATGTGTTTTAGTGTTCTCGATCTCTGTAAAGGGAGACCAGATGGATGTCACTGAGCCTGTCACTTTCCTGGTGAGCAGTTGGGATGAGTCCACCAGAGATCCAGCCGCGTGTGGCCACAGCTGTGTCTTCCTGGCCCTCGAGGCAGTGTGTGGATGTGTGTGTGTGGTATTTATATGTGCCCTGCACTCGTGAATGTATGAACTGGAGAAAGTTACTACAGGGGAGGGTTCTTAATAACAAGGTCTACCTAGCATGAAGTATTTAACATTCTCCCACCCCTTGAAAAATATACATTTTTATAAAATGAAAACCATAATAAATGTTTTGAATATTAAAAAAATTAACCTACGGAAGAAAATTAATGGAGAAAGCTATTTGCCTTGTACTTTTTCCACAATTGTTGCTGCTAGCTGTACACATCTCTAGTTCAGCTCTTGCCCATGGGACACTCATCAATTAGGTTTCATTTTATTTTTCTCCTCTACCCCCAGAAACTAGCCTGTTAATTTTTTTTCCCTTCTCCTCTGGCAACTGTGTGGTGAATCCTTTCTTGCGTGATCAGGTTGCGGATAGACTTGTAAGGGTGTTGCTGCATACAGTGTAAGCATTGTGACCGCCAATAAACTTCAATGGTTTCTACTGACCTGGCTTCAGCACTCAAGTCTAGTGTGTGTCTAGGGAGCTTATTCCAAGCACACAGTGGGTTTTCCAACATGGGGTTTTGGGTACAAGAATCGAACTTGTGACCCTCATGCTTGCCAAGCAGGTGCTTATGCTGCTGCTGAGCTAAATTCCTGTCCCCAAACATGGGTTCTTAAAAGCCAGTGGGCGACAGGTACTGCTTAGCCATATAAAATTATCTTGCTTCTGTTCAATTAAGTCTAACTCAACTTCTTGTAAAAGTACGGTTAGCTCAGGTGACCTACATACACTGTAGTCTGCTTTCCATAGCCGTAAAAGTGAAGCCACTTTGTCCAGGCTTCTGGGTGATAATGTGGCCACTGCAAACAAGCAGTAACCGAAGAAAACTCAGCTTTGTTAATGTTGACCCCACTCCTCTGATGTGGGCTGGGCTTCACTCAAGAGTTACTGGCATTCCCCAGGAAGATGCCACCCCCGGAATACTATGCAGACCTCAAGGGTCAGACTTCATAATGAAGAACACACGATTGATCCTCCTGATCCCGTACCACAGGGTGCCCAAGTGTAGAGCACTATTGTTGCCAAGGACCCTGGAGAGCTTAGGTGCGGAGAAGCTGTGAACCTTACGCACCTCCATCTCCAGTGACTCAGCCTCCAGAGAACCCTCTTGCTGCCTTACCCAGATGCACTGATAGTTTCTGTGATGTTTCAGCCTTCTGGGAACTGGTGTCACTTTCTCAGCCCTGAAGTGGTTTAAAGGCACAACATTTTATTCTAATGCCTAGAAGGCACATTGAATTAATCTTAGATAAGTTCCATTTCCAAGCCTAATAGAAATAGAAAATGATGATTTAAAAAATGAAAAAGATGACAAAAAAAAAAACTGTGGGCCTGGGATTTAGCTCAGTAGTATAAGCACCTGCCTGGCAAGCCTGAGGTGGTGAGTTCAATCCCTGGTACCACCAAAAAATAAGTAAATTTTTTTTTAAATGTGAGGCTTCACTCTGATTCCAAAGTAAAGGGACAAAAGAAATGAGCCAGCTGTCTTGGTTACTTTTCTCTAGTTGCTGGAACAAATTACCTGACACCCAAAATGAAGAAAAGGTTTATTTAGCTCCGTTTATGGAGATTTCAGTCCATAATCAGCTGGCTCCAAGGCAGGGTGGCAGAGCACTAGAAAACACTTTAAGGCAGCAGCCAGAGCAAAAGGGGAAAGAGCAACCTTCTTTTCCTCCCTTATATGGTACCGAATCTCCTTGCCTTCCTCCTGCACAGAAAGAGCACATTTACCCAGAACCCTGGCTCCCTGCTGAGTCCTAGTTAAACTTCTAAACTGTCAGGCTGACACAGTGTGCCACCCTAACACCAGCTATAACAGCATTTGGATGGCTGGGGCAAGAGGATCTTAGTTCATGCACAGCCTGGACTACAAATAGCAAGGCTCAGTGGGATACAGCTCAGTGGTACAGCACTTTCTAAGGCAAATTCTTCCCTATTATGAGGTACCCTTTGATCAGCAAACCTCCAGAACCCTCCTTCCTTTCTAGAAGAGTAATTTCAGAGACCACGAATTCAGCAGAGACACCTTCAGGGCAGCTGAGTCCAGTCCACTCACCGCAAGTTGCTGCACAGAGAATCTTGGCAACCCTCCCAGACTTAACCTGGTGCTATTCCTTCCTCAGTGGTCACTTACAAGCGGTGGTTTTTGGTCAGAAGCAGGTTAATTACTAATTTCCTATAAATCAATCTAATAAATGTAAAGGCCAGTTGATTTTGTTTCCCCAAAAAGAAATGACTTTCCTAGAAGTCACATGAATTTAAACTACCTTACAGTGAAACGTTTCAGTTCTTTGCAGGCTGGTTATTACATTTTGTGTGTGTTTGGCTGGCTTAGTCCAAACGAGAGTTTCTCTCACTAAAGTGTGAATGAAGAGATCTGGCCCAGGGTCACAGTTCTCAGTTTTTAAATTTTTTTTTTACAGTTTTTAAATTTTAATAAATTGTGACAGCAAAAGTTGTTCATTTTCTCATAACAAGCAACAACCTAAGCAATTTTATTCCCAGAAACAGAGACTTTATTATTAAACAACCTAAGTTGACATCTAATGCTGCCAAAGTGTCAAATGCCAAAGCAAAAATAGAGAGGAAAAATAGTTCCAGGTAACCTGTAAAAACCTTGAAACATTAAGTCTGAAAGAAAGATATACGTACACACCACCCATAATTAAACAACTGCCAATTAAACACAAGGCAGTTCTCCCTCCCAGCTGTCTCATGGATGCATTTTGTTTCTCTTGGTCAGCAGCCATTTTTGGTGTTTCAGGAATGGCAGGTCAAGTAAAGGAAGCACCTGCCAGGTGGTGGTGTGTCATACCATCAGAGTGGAGAATGAGACACAGTTTTGAAGTCTGTTCTCCTTACTCAGAAAACTCTTACAA